TTTCGATTTAGTGCGCAGATCAAGCTGGATTGGATAAAATGTTTGGTTTAAATTGAGTTAAAAAGCTGATTTGAGTCAAGCAAAAGATCGGGTTATCCCTCTGATTCTTGGTCGTGGTTTGAAGCATTGATGATGGGAAGTTTGGCTGATAAGGAGATTGAGGAAGTTGATCAATGAAGATATATAAAGGATTTGCATTAGATGCAAGATACATTAATAAGAAGATTCATGTGAGGCCCATACATATGTACATAGGAGCAATGTCGGCTGCTTTAGGAAAGTCAGCTAGGGGTGGATTAACTTGAGAAGTTGGATTGGCAGATGAGACATGGTGCAAAGAGGCAAAATAGCCAGCAGATTATTGTGAATTTGATTGAAGGGAACCACAAATGAATCTTGAAATGATTTCTGACCCATATGCAAAACTCAGAAATTGCACTAAAGATGGATTTTGTCCGCTTTTGTTTGAATTGCTTGGCTTCAATATGAAAATGATGGTCGGTAAATATGTGGACAAACTAATTCATAGTTGTCCTTTAACCTGTAATGATGATGAATGATATGATGGAATGAAATGATTAATGTGTTACCGAGGAACTTACGGTTATATTTGAGAGATTGAGTGAAGCTTGCTTGGCCGTAACTTCGGTTGGTTGAAACATCAGTTTGCTCAGCGGAATCAGTGGAGGTTTTGGACAATTTGTCGATTTTGTTCAATTTCGTTGTTTGCCTTTAACTTGAATGATCACGGGTTGAGATAGCAGTTCCACCGAAGTGAGGTAAATGGGTGATGTGATTGGTGAAAGCTGTGCGTCGGGGTAAAAGATTTTGGGCCTCCAAGCAAATCACAATCGTGATTTGATGGTTGATTTTCCAAGATTTGATTGGCGAGTGAAGCGTTTGCACCCCCGGGAAATATACAGTCGACTTCAGAAAGCTTGGAACTCTTCGCCCACAAAACTCAAGCAGATTGGCGTGGAATCGTTTCCAAGCTTTGTGAACTCGACTGTAATCGAATCGTGCTCTGGACATCTGGATACAACTGCAGGAATTTGAAATGCATAGTGACGGAACGAATGAACATT